AAAAAAAAAAAAAAAAAAAAAAAAAAAAAATCAATGACGAAACAGACGCGCGATAAGAATAGCTCGAGAACTTTCTAGAGTTTCGATATCTCTTTCTGACTTTCTCTCTCTCTCTCTCTCTCTCTCTCTCTCTCCCTCTTTCCGTGCATTTAGCTCAGTACGCTTTAATCCATTGTTCAGTCGGGTGTACCGACATTATCCATTCGCGACATAATGCGGGTACACCCGGTATACAGAACTGGCACAGTACGGATCATTAAGTTAAATCCCAGAACTATTTTCAGGAAATATGCCTGGTGGTGTTCTTCGGCGTGGAATATCTTGTGCGTCTCTGGAGCGCGGGATGTCGCTCGAAGTACATGGGATGCTGCGGTCGTTTGCGTTTTATACGAAAGCCGATTTGCATCATAGGTGAGTAACGTTGGATACCAGAGAATCATAGCTGAGGACGGATACATACGCCAGTGGGATTTGGATACGGTAGTAAACCATGTGTGTATATACGTGCATGTCCAAGAAGGGCGCATGACTTTCGAGCCCTCGACGTCCCTTTGTTCGGTTGGCTCGATTCCACCCAGCCATCGTTCCAAGGATTGAAGGAGGAGCAGAGGCAGCGCTACTGTAGCTTCGGCGCCACGTCTCTCACCAGAGAAAAGGTTCCAGCGGATGATGTAAAATCTTGACGAGTGGAAAGCGTTCCCATGGGATCGCTCGTGCCTCCCCTTATACCCACTCCGTGACCACGAGGGGAAGGGAGCTAGTTCCGTCTATTCTCGTCCTAAAATCTCCACGGAGTGTTTCGATCCATCCGTTTTCAGAGACATCAGACCCGTTCCTATCAGCTGGAGAGGACGATCCCCGAACTACATTAGAACTAAAACCAGGACAAAAACAGTTTGGACTGACTTCGTGCTTCTGTGCCAAATTTAATGCTCCCCATTTATAAAAAAAAAAAAAAAAATTTGTAGAGATGATAATCCCATACCAAGCAGGTCCATCCCCCTCGCCGGTCCTCGTTCGACTGCCCCGTGAATATCAATAGCTGAGCCCCGCTTCCGATCTTGCAGATCTGATCGTCGTGGTGGCCTCGATGGTGGTGCTCTCTGTCGGCAGCAACGGTCAGGTATTCGCGACGTCAGCCATACGAGGTATAAGATTCCTGCAGATACTGCGTATGCTCCACGTGGATCGTCAGGGTGGCACGTGGCGACTCCTCGGTTCCGTGGTCTTCATCCATCGACAGGTTAGAATATGCCAGAGTCGAAGACCGAGGGTGGTTTTATCGGCCACGAAACGGGAGGCCTTAGCTGTAAAGGGGTGGCAGGGGTTGGAGGGAGTAAAAGGGTGTTGGGAGTAAAAGAAAAAATTTTAGGCCCCCCCCGTTTATTGTCAGATGTGTCACGAGCGCCGTCTTTCTCCCTTGTAGGAGCTCATTACGACACTCTACATCGGGTTCCTAGGTCTTATTTTCAGCAGTTACTTCGTGTATCTTGCCGAAAAGGACGCTGTTGGACCCGATGGAAAGACGGACTTCTCCAGCTACGCGGATGCCCTCTGGTGGGGCGTGGTGAGTAGCACGAGCAACCTCATAGACCCAAACCAAGAATTCAATTCCCATACCATAAACTGTCTTTCGTCCTAGATAACCGTGACGACCATCGGCTACGGGGACACGGTACCTCAGACCTGGATGGGCAAGATAGTCGCCTCGTGCTTCAGCGTATTCGCGATATCATTTTTCGCTCTCCCGGCCGTGAGTATCGGATCAGTCAGGACCAGGTCGACCCTGGTCGTTCTAGAGTATACCCCAGGTCCAAGGCCCTGGACCAGCCAGCACCCTTAACGAGCAACCTTACACCTCGCCAGGGTATACTCGGCTCCGGATTTGCCCTGAAGGTCCAGCAGAAGCAACGTCAGAAGCACTTCAATCGCCAGATACCGGCGGCAGCGATGCTGATCCAGTGCCTCTGGCGCTGCTACGCCGCCGACAAGGCCATCAACAGCGTCGCCACCTGGAACATCTACGTGAAGGACCCGACGCCGGCGGGCCAGCCGGCGACTCCACTGGGAAAGGTGAGGCCGAGAGGAGACACGTTAATGTCGTCACGTCGTTGGGACACGTTGCCGTTATTATATCCTTGCCGTTTGCGTTGACCTGTTACGTTATCTTTTTTGCCGATTAGCCGTCGTTAGCCGTTGACTGTCGATGTTCCTTTTTTTTTTTCTTTCTTTTTTTAGCTGCTTCCGGTGTCCCGCGTAACGGATTGCGCAACTTTCGCGATCCCCAAACTCGAGACACGCATCTCCCCTCCTTCGCTCGTTATCATTATTATTTCCGCATTGTTATCGCTGATAAGCCTCGATCACGATTACCCATCGTTATCATAATTATTCCCGATGTCACGGTGTCACCTGCATACGTATATATATATATATATATTTTTTTTTTTCGATCGTTCAAAGGAATGCGCATTCGGATCGATGTTCATCGGTGTGACCACTCGACATATACCGTATACGCACGAAAAACCGATCGATCCATATACGTATAATATTTGGCAAACCTATCGATGTAAAAATCAATTCGACCTCAAATGGACGAGAATCTTTTATCTTGGATCTTTCGTAGCGAGAGAAACGACGTCGGTTCAAAAGTCCGCGATGATCATCGTCATCGTTCTCCACCCATCACCGATCGACCCATATCAGCCCGAG